AAAAAAAGCGGAAGCTACCAATCAATCGTCTAAAAGAATCGGAATCGCGTCGCGTTTTCGAGTTTCCCTTCAAGTAAAATACCGTTCCAACGTTTTCTGCCTTGCAGCAATTCCTCTCCCAAAAAGAGTTTCCTGAGAACAATTTTTTTGAAGTATGTTTCCACAGTGAATTCCACTTTGATTTCTGATCTTTGCGCGGTCAACATTAATGCCCGTGTTTTCTGTCGATTTTTAATGTCCTAAGCATTCTTGTACAATGGACAAGTGGAATCGTTTTGTCTGCAGAAAAAAAGGCTGAAAGAGCCGAAAAAGAAAAAATTTCTTTCAGATGATGTACACCGAACAGCATTTAGGTGCATCACTTACCATTAATATCAGTCATTTTTTCGCCGTCTGAAAATTAATTGTACTTTTTTTTTGTGTCCGTTGCTATTATATCACACAATATTGTTGTTGTTTACTGATGTCAGTCATTCATGTTTCAGTAGCAGCAACAAAAACGACAGCATCCTGCTTTTCATAGGTATCTTAAGTCTGTTCATCATTTTTCCCATTTTCTAATTTTTTTTTTCGCTTTTTCTAGTTTCGCTCTGTCACCACCAATCTTTGGTATGTTTGACTTATCAAATTCGACAAAAGTGACCATTTACTGATCAAAGAAATGCATTTCATTTGTTGTTTACTTTGCTATAGTGCTACCTTCAGTTCGATTCGTTTTTTCCTCCAATTTCTTTCCTCTATCTCATCGCTTCCTGGTTTTTTCTGTTTGTAATGTTCCGTAATAAGCAAAGAAAAAAAAAAAGTGTGGCTGTCGCTGTCGTTGTAAAAAAGTAAATAAATATGGTTAAAGAAAGTCCTAAACTGTATAAGGTTTACTAGTAGTTGACCAGACAGTGGTAGCATTCGTTTAACTTTTTTTTTTTTTTTTTTGGTGTAAGTTAACACATGCACATAAATATACACATACACATACACTAACACGCACATATAAACATACTGAACAAAGCCACCACATATATACTGATCAGCCATGCAGTTGACTGGTTGGTTTGGTTTTGTTGTTGGCCGCAACTTGCGTTTATAATGCTGTTTTTTCTTCATTTCCAAAAAATAGATGAGGAGGCATCTTTACAGCAGATTCGTCAACATCATCTGTATCATCCTGATACCCCTCAAGTTGTGGATAAATGATTTTATTGTTGATGTGTCGCTGACGCCTCATAATATCTGAGTTAATGAAATAGCAGGGAAGCCTTGAGTACTGCGTTCATTGCTTCTTAGGAATGATGCTTAAAAATTTAGATTTGAAACGACGACGAAAAGGGAATTGGTAAAACCTTATTGATTAAAATAACAATAGGTGTTTATTATGCAATTATTTGTTTTATTTTATTTTCCTTTTTCACTTTTGTGAATTATCATATCGAAAAATTTTTTCAAGCTTTTATATTTCGATAGCTCCTTTGTTTAAGTATCTATTTGTTTGCGCATAAAATATATGTGATAGGTTTATCTACCCA